GGTTGCGATCCCGTTACCGGTCAGTAAAAAAAAAAAAAAGACAAAAAAAAGGAAAAAAAAATAATTTGGTTAAATCAGCTGGAGGATAATCAAGGAATAAATTACAATGACTTTGGTAAGAAAGAATAGGCAGTGCAGATCAGTTCAGTTCAAATGATTATTGAATACCTTCTAGATTCTATGTAGGGTGCTGAACACCGAAGATTCAAAAATCAGTTAGGCTGGCTGGTTAGTTCAGCTGGTTAAAGGATGGTGTTATAACAGCAAGGTCAGGAGTTCAGATCCTTGCACCAGCCGGCCACAAAAAAAAAATAAAGAAGGGATAAGCTGTAGTCCCTGCCCTCACAGGAAGAGTTCAAGAGAAGGGAAAATGGTGCTGATGCCAAAAGAAGAGATAAAAGTAACCGGAGAGGACAAACTGCATTTACTACACAATTTTGTTTAGCTAGTCTGCTTCTACTTATATACGCATATATGCCAAAAAGAATATTATCCACTCTTATAGTACTGATACTACCTCAGTTCTTACTAAAAACTGAAAAAAACTTTTTAAAATTTAAATAACTTTGGAGTCTGAATGGCATAAGTTTTTTTTTTTTTTTTTATTAGTCCACAAATTGAAAACTTAAACAACACAGAGCATTCTATCTATATTGGCTTTAATATATTTGATAAAATAGGCCCCAAATATCAAGAGGCAAATTTTTGTCATCTTTGAAAGCTTTGGTAACTTATTAAGAATGAATCTTAAAAATGTTCTTAAAACACATTTTTAAAAACATACACAGACTAATTGACCTAAGAGAATTCTATACAAGGGGCTGGCAGGTTAGTTCAGTTGGCTAAGAGCACAGCCTTATAATGCAAAGGTCATGGGTTCAGATCCCCATATGGGCCAGCTGCCAAAAAAAAAAAAAAAAAGTACTGTACAGATTAATATTATTGAATGATTCAGTTTTAAATCATTTATGAGTTCTATATGCATACATTCTATGGCTGCTGCAGAAGTTTTCAAGGTTAACTTTATGAATAAAAGATTTTGGCCAGAAATATTAGCTACATTTTTCTGAAATGGTTTTGATAAGTTTTGTCAAAAACAGAAACAATTGGGCCGGCCCGGTGGTGCACTGCTACAGTGCGCTGCTTGGGAGCGCAGCAGGCGCTCCCGCCAAGGGTTCGGATCCCACATACAGACCGGTTCCCGCTCACTGGCTGGGCGAGGTGTGGGCGCGACACCGAGGGTTGCGATCCCGTTGCCGGACATGAAAAAAGACAAAAAGGAAAAAACAAACAAACAAACAATTGACTTTCAAAATTAAGTACATAAAGCACATAGATTTTTAAATTTAGCTGGCATGCCCTTGTGTTTAAGAAATAAAAACATGCCCAGTTAGCTCAGTTGGTTAGAGCGTGGTGCTGATGACAGTGTGGTGCTAACACCAAGGTCTGGGGTTTAATCCCTGTACCAGCCAGCCCCCCAAAGCAAAAAACAAACAACAAAAAAAGACCAAGCTTTTTTTAAGAATTGGGAGAAAAAATGTTTTCCTTCTAATTATACAAATTGGTGCATATTAGCCGTTGTTCTTTCCTATGTAGGTACTATTATCAATTTTCTTCTTGTGTGGACAATTACTGTCCTAGCTAGATGTAATTACCTTGTAAAGTATTTCGGCACTTGCTCATCAGATCAAAAAAAAAAGCCCTCTTGTAGTATGGACATCTTGTCCATAAAATAAGTAATCAAACGTTAAAGCATTTTAAAAATCTTTTCAGGGCAGGCCCGTGGCTCGCTTGGGAGAGTGTGGTGCTGATAACACCAAGGCCACAGGTTCAGATCCCCTATAGGGATGTCTGGTTAGCTCACTTGGAGAGTGTGGTGCTGACAACACCAAGTCAAGGGTTAAGATCCCCTTACCGGTCATCTTTAAAAATAATAATAATAATAAAATAAAACAAAATAAAATCTTTTCAAAAGATAAAATTTAATATCAGAACCATTTCAGAACTTCTTTTTCTGAAAAATTCTCCAATATATTCTATTTAAAAGTGAGGCATTGACAGTTTGGATTCCAAACAGCATTTAGCATGATTCTTATATAAAATCATTTCTGCATAAGCTTCCTTACAAATAAGCACACATTAAAATTCCCACCCCCAAAGTTCTTAAATTGTTTCCTTTTTACCCAGCTACTCCCCAGGACCTTGAGGAATGTGATTGTTTTACATACCATCCGCAGACAGGTGGGCGTGACTTGCAAAGGCTTTATCTATTTCTAGAAAAGCCAAGGTCAACACAGTTTCCAAGTTCTTCTCCTTAGGAAGCAAATCCCTTTGTGGAGAGGAAAAGAGATCCTCAATCAGTTTAAGATAGGTTTGTCCTTTCCTCACAGTCACACTATCTAGCAGTCATTCCATACAATGGACCTCATGACTTTCCTTCCAGAAGCTTAATTTCTGCTGTTAAAGGAATGTTTATTGAGCATCTACTAAGTATTAGGCACTGTCTTTCAAGGGCACCAAAAGTCGAAGTCCCCTTCCTTAAATAATTAATCCTCACTACTACAACCCTGAAAGGTCAAGAATTCTTTCATATTAACTTAAGTCACTGAGTCCTTTTGTGGAATGAGGTAAAATATGCATAAACTGATGAACAGTATAAATAACTATACACAGGAAGACAAGAAATAGTACATGGCCATAACTCTGTCACAAGTACCCCCCCCCCTTTTTAAATCAAGCAGTAGCACGACCCCCCAAAATACAATAGTTATTCCTTATCCCCAGAGATTGGTTCCAGGACCCCCAGGGAGGATCAAATCCCTGATATAAAATGTTGTAGGATTTGAGGGCCAGCCCGTGGCTCACTCGGGAGAGTGTGGTGCTGATAACACCAGGGACACGGGTTCGGATCCATATATAGGGATGGCTGGTTCGTGCACTTGGAGAGCGTGGTGCTGACAAGTCAAGGGTTAAGATTCCCTTACTGGTCATATTTAAAAAAAAAAAAAAAAGGTTGTAGTATTTGCATATAATCTACGTATACATCCTCCCATATACTTTAAATCAACTCTAAGTGACTTACAGAACCTAATACAATAATAAATGCTGTGTAAATAATTGTTATACTGTATTGCTTTTTATTTGTATTTTTTATTGTTGTATTGTTACTTTTTATTGTTTTTGTTGTTAAAACACAATCTGAAATGGTAACACGCATCAGCAAGAAATGGCATGCTTAAGTGACTACTCCTTCATGAAGCAGCACTATGTAAAGTTTAAACATGAAGCATAAGGGAACTGCAAGTCCAGAGAGAAAGTCACTGTACGTACATAATACATTTCTCCATGTGGGTGTGACAGAAATCGGCAGCTGCAGGTCCGCCGTGTCCATCATACACCGCGAAGTACAGGATCTCATCTGTCAGCTGAGCGTAGTCGAACCGATCCTCATTCTCTCTCCGTTTGCCAATCTGCGAGGCGCAGCCCACGTTTTCCAAGCTGATTTTGGGAATTGGCTTGCCATACTTAATGCTGGGTGGCAAGAGAATTGGCTCATCGATGCGATTATCCCAGATCCCAAAACTGTCCCAGGTCGCTGGACGCCCACTACCGTCTGCGTCAAACCGAGAACACCTGGGCTCTGAAGTGGAGCTGTGGCACTGGGGTGTCACCCGCCTGCAGGAGCGCAGCAGCACTCTCCTTCTCACCTGGTTCCCACCGCTTCTAACCAAAGTAATTAAGGCAGTTGTTGACATAACTCCAAAGGACTCAGCAACGAGGGAAAGGTCAGTGGAACAATGAATGACTTCAAGAAAAATGATGCAACTGCGGAAGGGGGGGGGGAGAGTTCATCAATAATTTCTAATATAACTGATATATCATTAGATATTACCAAAAATGAAGGCCATAAAGTACCTGACAGAAAATATATATTATATTCATTATATATTGGGTAGGAATCCAACAGCCTACTCCTAAGAACAGTGTATCAAAAATCAATAAATTGACCTGCCCCATTCACAGTGTTTAAAGTCTACAAAAATTTGACAGTGCACACATATATGGAACACATGCCTCTCAAACTTGTACCTGCAATTGTGGAGTATACATAAAGCAAATGTATTTCACAGGGCCTGATTTTCTAAAGCCTTACAATTTCAGGTTTAGCCTAACTTCTTAAAAGTACATATAAAATTTTTTTTTTTTATTTTTTTTAAAATTTTTTTCCTTTTTGTCTTTTTTCGTGTCCGGCAACGGGATCGCAACCCTCAGTGCTGCACCCGCACCTCGCTCGGCCAGTGAGCGGGAACCGGTCTGTATGTGGGATCCGAACCTTCGGCGGGAGCGCCGCAGCGCTCCCAAGCGGAGCACTGTAGCAGTGTGCCACCGGGCCGGTCCAAAAGTACATATAAAATGTTGACCTTGTAAAAGACAGGAAATTTTCCCCCAAGCTAGTCTCTGTTTTAAGACAAAGAATTGTAGCACAGCAAGGGTGCTGGCTCAGAGGACAGACAGGTTACTGATTGATATGTAAAGATACTGGGAAATTGCTGTAAGGGGCATGTTAGCTAAGATCAAGCTTTTGTTGGTGAATTGACTTAACTTCTTGCAAACTGCATTAGGGAATGTCACCTTGCTAGTTTTACTGAATGTTACCAGCCTATATTGTTAAACTATAACCCCAGCTATGTTCTCTTCCTGTAACTTCCTGGTCTGGAGAATAAATGTGGGAAGAGAACCCCAATTCAGGATTAATTTCCCAAATGGAAGGAATGCCTGTCTCTTGAGGGTTCCGGGAGATTAACCCCTTCGGGGCTTCTCACTGCTCAAAAGAGATGGGCTTTGAGTAATCCTTTGCAGCTCCATCACCCAGGGGAAGAAGGGTGACAAATCTGTGGGAGGCAAAGCAACATGCAATCATTCAGGGATCTTGTTAAAATGCAGATTCTGAGGCTGGCTGGCTGGCTCAGTTGGTTAGAGAGTGGTGGTGATAACACCAAGATCAAAGGTTCATATCCTCTCAAAAATAAAATAAAGTAAATAATAATACCCACAACCAGGCTCACCACACCAGCACCTCGAGGCCCACCCAGGGACCCGGAGCATGGAGAAGGGGACTGGACCCCCCTCCCACAACCAGGCACAACATTCCAGTGCCTCAGGACCCACTCAGGGACCTGGGGTATGGAGCTGGGGATCAGACATTCTCCACAACCAGGCACACTGCCAGTGCCACGGAGCATGCCAAAAACATCTTCTCCATGTGGGTGGCCCACCACAGCCACCATGATAACCATGGCTGCCATGAATGTGGCTAGATGCCACAACCACCATGCAGATCGTCTGCCAGCCACTGGAGTGCCTTAATACAAGGAGAGTCACCAGCAGAGATAAAGAAAGGAGGATCTCTCTCTCCACAAAGCCCATTGCAGAGTGGTAGAAGAAGCATCTGCTCTATGATAATATTGGGGGACCTGATCACACCTCTCAGCATTGGACAGATCATCTAGGCAACAAATCAACAGAGTAACCATTATTCTTTCAGAGGGTGAGAAGAAATCTAGGGTGATTAGAGGGGGGCAGGGAAGATAAAGGAGGATGGGGAGGGATTGGACAAGGGGCATAAATAATAATTACGATTTGTAACAATATACATGCTAGTAATATTGATTTGATCAACATATCTCAATACTGAACCCCCAAAATTTGTACAGTCAATTTTGATTCAATAAAAATAAAAATAATAAATAATAATTTTTTTAAAAAAATAAATAATAAATGAGTATAATAAAAACCAATAATAAAAAATAAAATTAGACAAACAATTAAAATGCAGATTCTGATTCAGCTGGTATGGAGTGGAGCCAAGATTCTGCATTTCTAACCAGCTCCCTGGTGATACGGAAGGTCCACAGACCACTCTTTGCGTAACAAGAATACGGTATACAGGTATAAATAAATATTCTTCCCTTCATTAACTCCATTGCTCTGAAGAAAAGGTGGGGGAAGGTATCAGCGAAATCTCTTAAGAAAGATTGAAATAAAAGAAAAATAATTGGTAGAATATTTACAATAGTTCTCTACCCAAAGAGTGGCCAAGTTTTAGCAGACACAATCTAGGATCTAAGTTTTATTTTAAGATTTCTGAACTTAATAAACTGTACATACTACTCATATTACCATGGTTAACATAAACTGGTTCATGAAACCACCCCCATGGGCACAAAGATAAGCTAGTTCTGATGCCTCCCTTTGTGATAGATATTCTAATGGGAAGGGTGTGTGGGCATGTGATTTCAGGAATTGGGTGGCACTGTTTGAGACAAACAGCCATGATTTATGAGCAAGTGATCTATGCATTTATACTAACAGCTGCAGTTCGATCCTCCATCCCGAACAGCCCACCCACACGTGAGACTACACTACTTTGAAACTTTCTCTACACCCCAACTTCTGGACTCTGCCCCAAATTCAATTCTAACGCCTCTGTGGGTATTACGAGGTGTTATCAGAGAGAATTCCTACATCCCTGCAAGAAGAACTGTGTTTCTAGCAGCTTTGATAAGGTTACCAGCAGAAATTCATCTCTGTAGTACTTTGCTACTTTATGTATCAAAAATCAACTTGAGGGCCAGCCCATGGCTCACTCGGGAGAGTGCGGTGCTGATAACACCAAGGCCCCGGGTTCAGATCCCATATAGGGATGGCCGGTTAGCTCACTGGCTGAGCGTGGTGCTGACAACACCAAGTCAAGGGTTAAGATCCCCTTACCGGTCATCTTTCAATAAAAAAAAAAAAAAAAAAAAAAAATCAACTTGAAAAGTTTTTCTTAAATTAAAAAAAAAATCAACTTAGGCTGGCCCGTGGCTCACTC